GTACAGCAGTGCACTGTATGCTAAGTGAAAGATGTATTTTTCTGTTGTTGTAATTCATATGTCTTTCATATCAATAACCACTTGGTTTTAAAGCTGAATAATGTTGCACCAAATCCTACAAACAATATTTAATAATATCAATATTTTTTAATATTGTACAACAGCATGCAGAAAAGGATAAAACAAGGAACTCATACAATAGTGGCAATGGTATGCATAGAGCAACTAAATTATAACCATTGCATTTAATTTCAAATCTCTCACTTCCAGAATAAATATATAAATATCACAAAACAGATTTATACATTTCCTCTATTTAACAATACAACTTTAAACAACTGCATGTTTGTCTCATGTGTCTGTCTGTATTGGTTCACTAGGTTCTGTCTTCCTGTCCTATTTATTTACCACATGCAGGACACTAAACATATGGTGGCACGATACAATTAGAAAAGATTTAGTTGTTAATTATGTCACTTGATTTCTATTAGATAAAATAGATGGGCTGCAACTCTTTCAGGGAGTATTTGAATGTATTTCTCCTAATAACCAAGGTTACTCAAGTACATTTAATCCCTCCCAATTGAGCTAATAGACTGATTTCTTTGATGACCAGTGTACGGAAATGTCAAACAAAAGAAACATAGAAGAGATGTGTGTCTGTGAGCAATTCTTTCTGAGATTTTTGCAGTCTATAAGCAACCAGATCCTGAAGACATTTATCCTTAGTCATAGACTGCCAGTGTAGTGCAGAGGATAATGGGTTGCACTGCAGCTAGAAATACTTGAACTTATATTGGTCATTCTTTCTCCTGAATCAAATTAGATCTGAGGTGGGGACAGAGGATTGAAAATTCCACAATCTTGGTCTTACTGAAAGAGCAGCTGGCTTGGGAGAAGAGCAGCTCCTAGCTTTAAATCAGCCCTCCCTTTTCATCTTTTCTGAAAGATAAAGATGTCAGAAGCTACAATCACAGAACACATTTAGATTGGTCCTCATTGTGACTTCATGATATGTTCAATGGCTAATCTTGAGATCTTTAGAGGCAGGAATATACAGATGTGAGCAACAAATGGAACTTCTAGAAAGAACTGAAAAGGAAAGTTTCATTAAATTATGAAATGCATAAATGAAGAATTAAAGGCGACAATTCTATCTACCAAATCCTACCTCCCATGATTAAAACGAAGTAAGCAACCTGTGTTTGAGGGCAGGTCTGTTGTGTCTCTACTGAGGGCAACCAAGAGGTCAAGGAAAGAAAGCCCTTACCAGCCCCAAGTCACAACAAACCACACCATGCAGAAAGCTCAAGTGATCTAGTCCCAAGAGAGAGACATTACCTCGCCTGCCTTGTGTTGTTAGTAAAAGGTAAGTAGCGCTGACCCACTTTGCCCTGTTCCATGTTAACACAGAACTTGCATCTGTGAAAGAACTGAATAATAAATATCCCTCCTTCATTGCGCTGCAGCTACATTACTTCTATTATTGGAACCTGCATTTTACCTGTTCATAATTAAATGGAAACACAAAAGCAGTATGTTTTGCACAGGTTTACCCACACAAAGATCATGTTCTTTTCCCATGAGCCATGTAGAGAGCTAATTCCGTATACATTATGGGAATGTAAGGCTTAGTAGTATTTAATTGAAAATAGCAAGTTGGAAAGGAAATTCATATTTTAAAACCTGTTTCATTCTATGATAAACCATTTTTCAAAATAGTTGAGCTTTACAACATTGCCACCAAATATGGAAAAAATAAGGCAGTGTGCATAATGCTCCCTCCTCCTCTTTTCCCCACAACGCTAGCCGTGTTAGATGGCTGAAAGAGAGCCACAGGCCCAAAGTCATCCAGCTGGCTTCTGTGCCTAACGGCAGACCAGAACTCAGTCTCCCACTTTCCAGTCAAGTACCTTAGCCACTGCACCAAATTGGCAGAAAAGTCTACAACTGAAGTAAGCAGTTTTGATGAGAAATCTTGTACTTGTATTTTAAAATACTTTTTTTTTTTTAAAAGAAAGTCAGCCAAACAAGTAACTGGCACACATAAATGAAAATGCAAGGGCTCTAGAATATTTAATGAGTGATATCTAGTACTGTAAGAACTTGGGTCAGATGTCCTCTGAGAACCCCTTTCATCAATGGAGCTTTCTCCTCCTTCCAGTCATTGATGCCAGCTGCTTGCCTGCCAGGAAGAGAGTTGATGAATAAACAAGCAAGAGCAACAGCAGCAGGTTTTCTTCTTTCTCCTCATTTACTCATAACTTCAGAATGGATTCAAAACCCTAACTCTTTCCTGTCAGCTACTGGCCACCTGGATTTTTGCAGTCCAAATCTGGTAGCCCTAGTGGTAAACCATAGTTTTACAGTTGTGAGCCTCCTGTCAGGGCTAAAACATGCTGACTTGTGGTGCTGCCTATATTTCAGGTATTATATGAGACTCACATTTTACAGTGACAATTTTCAATAGTTTCCAGATGAGAGCTGTAACAGGTAGACTAGGCAAAGGGAAGATTCATTTTATTAACCTACTAATTCCTCATAATGTTGAGTTCATTTTATTAGGGATATAAATTATTATGGGTGCTATGTCTACCTATCTACCTTAGGTGCCAATGAGTTTGGCTGAGATCCTGAAGATTGCATGGACAAATGCTTACTATCCTAACCCGTATTTAGCAGTATGCTGTAGCTCTATTAAGGACATTCCTGTAATCTCTCCAATCTCATCCATTCACCTCATCCAGGGTCTTCTACCTCCCTCAGCCTTGCAGAACATAGTCATTCATTTTAATCTATTATCTGCTCACTTCATCTGCTCACAGCATATCTGCTTGAGCTTCATTTGAATCGAATATTCTATATTCACTTGGTCCAAGGCTGACCGATCAGTTCTTCTTGTAGTAACCATCTCCAGATCCATCATTTCTAGCACAGTGTCTCAATGTTCATCTGTCACAGCCATACACTAATGCTGGAAATACCACTGCTTTAATTATACTTATCATTAATAATCTTGCCTAAGTTTTTTATTGCTTTTTTCCCCAGCATTAATCTGTTCGTTATCTCTTCAGCACACTTCCTATCCTTATTCTTGATTGAAAGAAAATGGAACCGTTTACCATCTTCACCACTCAACCTTAAGTTTACTAAGCAGTCCATATAGTAGTCCATAAGAATTCTTCAACACAAGGAATTGTCAAACACACTGCACACATTTTATTGGGATTCTAAATTAATAAATATGATTCTACTCTTCCCCTCAAAAAAAAGGAGATCGGTAACTATTTCATGCAGTTGTTAAACAGGACTAAGAGCAACAATGGATAAAGCTAAGCCCACATTTTTGAAACCTGAAAATCAAATTTTATAGAGGCATTAACCTCTATTAAAATTAATATTTTATATTTACCAAGATCTCACATCACAATATACCATACCATAACTTTTCCAGTTGGTCCCATGGACAGCTAATGTGTATTCTGAATTTACCTTTGCTTTTTTCAGGATTCTTTGATGCTGCTGACACAACACAACCATCTGGGCTTACAGAATCTGCATTTCTCACTTCCTGTTTTCTCAAGTGCCTTCTCTCATTTCTTAAAGGGCTGTTCATGGAAGAAAGGGACATTATATTTTATCATTTATAACTATCTTAACAGTGTAACATGCAGGGTTGACTTATGTTACATAAAGATCTTTAAAATAAGCTGTAGGGATGGGATTTTTTAAAAAAAATAAACCTACAAAGTAGATGAAAAAGCAGGCTTATTGTGTAGTAGAATCTAAAACCACTAGGAAACTATAAATAAAAACCTGAGTCCGCTGTCTATTTCTTGGGAAAGCCCCTGAAGAATATTATAGGCACTGTACAGAAGTTAAGAAGAATTTAAATCCCTAACTTTTAATTTGCAAATGAATACATTAAAGAAAATACAGCCAAAGACACCTGAAATCCAAGAGCATCAGTTGTTTTCATTATTTTATAAAGCAATCTTTGAGGTAGAGAATAACTCACCTGGTATTAGCTGAGAGAGACAGAGGTAAGCTCTGAGTTTGTTCAAGAGCTTTGTGCTGGCTAGCCTCTGTGAGAGAGGAAGAGAGAGGGAGAGTATTTTTCACTGACATACTTAAGGCTTTGGAGCCAAACATTAAAGCTCTGTGATCATGAATGAAGGCAAACTGTGGTTCAGGCAGGATAATTATTTCATCTGCAAACCAAATACCTTAATAAGTTATTCAGCTTCTTTTACGCCACAAGGTACTGGGTGTGGACAGAATTCTCACTTTAATAACAGGGTTATTAAACTATAACTAGGGCAATTGTAACTTATGAGCTTGCTCACTGCTATCACTTCTGGCTTACAATATACAGTGGGGCAAAAAAGTATTTAGTCAGCCACCAATTGTGCAAGTTCTCCCACTTAAAAAGATGAGAGAGGCCTGTAATTTTCATCATAGGTATACCTCAGCTATGAG